GAATTGGATTTGTAGAATTTACTTGTTTGGTAAATTCATGAAAAATGTGATAAATTGGGCATGATTGTGTGTTACATGATTTGATATCTTGAAGGTGTTTGATAAAATGACTATGTTGATGCAGCATGTTGGTTTCATTGAAAATGTTATAACATGCTTGGGTATTGAGAATAATTAAAATCAATTCTAGCATGAATTGAGTACTTAGAAATTACTTGTTTGTGATTTCTTGATAAATGTATTGATTGGACATGTTATGTGTTTACATTTATGCCTTGAAGGTATTTGATGAAATGCCTATGTGGATTAAGTGTGTTATTTGCATAAATTATGTGATAACATACTTGAGAGTTGGTAGTGGTATATGCATATGATATATTGACGTTGAGGTTGTTTATGGTGGTTATATGCTTATGATGAAATTTACCATGAAAAATATTGTTGAATATTGAATTGTTCATAATGTGCTCATGACATATTAAACATGACTGAGAATTGAAATTGTACATTTACATTGCATATGCACAGATAACATCACATTCGTGGGCATTTGACATGAGTGTGAATGTGTGTGTATGTTTTTAAATTAAACATCATTCTTAGTGGTTGAGGGGTGGACTCAGGAAGGTTGGACCTAGGTCCAGTTGAGTTGCACAGTTACGTGAAAAATTTGTGTCGGGTACAACAAAAAGGGATAGATACTCTTTCGGGTGCAAGACTCGGTTACTGGTTCATACACTTTCAACAGTGTAAGTCCAAAAAAGTGTAACAGTATATGGAACCGGCGGTGAGATTTCAAAATCCGAATACCCAACAAAAACACATGGTCTATTTTAAAAAATGTCATTGGATGTGTAACATCAAGTGTGAGAGTTTGGAATGTTCGAATTTATACGCATGGTATTGAATGTGATGAGGGAGCCAGTAAAGGCTCACGTTGAGTTATATGTGTGAGTCTTATCTCATATCATGGTTTGACATTAAGGATTTCATTGTTAAATTGTAAATTCTTGAATGAAGTGATTTTTGCTTGTGAATTGCATGAAATCATTTCATATGCATCTAGGTTGAAGAATAGTCTCTTTAGGAGATACCCTATTGAGCGTGGCTCACCATTTATGGGAATAATATTTCAGGTGCGGGAAATGCATCGGTGGACAGCTCTTATTCTGACCGTCATTGATGAAGAAAAGCCGAAATATGGCTTTTAAACTATGCTTTTGTAAAACTAAGACGTAAATTAGTTTTTGAACATGTAATATATGTAAATGGTTGTAATCGAACTCATATGGACTATGTTTAATATAAAATTACATGTTGTTATGTGAATATGGATAAATGGACTAAGTGTGGTCAATGTTGTATAATTACACATGTTACGTTTTGGGTAGAGCTTCCTGTACAAAGGAGACTCTACCTGAATTTTGTTAAATTATAGATCCCGATAAATGGGGCATAATGTCGTGGTATCGAATTATACGATTTTCACGGATATTTTGCGAGTTGATGGGTGATTAACGAGTTGACAAAGGACCCCTAGTTTTAGGGGCGTCACAAAATTTTTTTACCCTTATATCAATTTTGGTGCATATAATTGGTGTAACTATATCATGATACTAAGTAGTGTAACTTTTTAGTTTATGTAAACAACTTAATGACAAATTGAGTTGATATCATAATTTTATGTAATTGTTTGATATAAATGTTTGGTTTATTAAAACACATGAATAACTGTTTGGTATAACTTATTAGTATAATTATTTACCCAAAAAAAAAACTTATTAGTGTAATTGTGTTGTCATAACGTTGATATATAGAGAGAGTAATGGTGAGAGAAAATAATGGGAGAGAGAGAGAGAGAGAGAGAGAAAATAGGGGAAAGAGATGAAAAATCAAATCAAATCGTTACATATTTGTCAAGAAAATAAATTATCAATGGGAAATAGAGAGATAGAGAGAGTAACGAGAGAGATGGAGAGAAATTAGGAGAGAGATAATGAGAGAGTAATGGAGAGAGAGGAACGGAGATGGAGAGAATAAAAATTATGCATAATTTAAGGAAGGGTAAATAAATAACAAAATTTAAATTGAATTTGAATTTTGTATTTAATCATAAGATGTTTTATTAACATTGAACTTAATAGAGTAAAATACTTATCTATACATTTACTCTCAAATAAATCTAAAAAAAGGTCATTTGGAAGTCGATACACCAAATTAGACATAATTGTAAAAAAGTACATAGAATAAAATATTTTGAAAAAAAGTACACAGCTGAGATATAAAAACGTAAATGCTCATTTTGTAATTGACCCGCCTGTGCCCAACCCCAATATACTTAAAGAGAGGGTTTGGGCTCACCCCCAAGCTCATTACTTGGCCTAAAATCTAATCCAATAATTCACCCACAAAAAAATCCGTTAAAACCCAACTCAATAGCCCACTCGCCTAATCTAGTCGGAATAGCTTGCCCACTTTCATTTGAAAAAAAGTTAGACACATTAAACTTGAAATTTGAAATTTGAAAAAGATAGATAGGTGGGTAAGTACCAATTTAGTTGGGATGTAATCATTTTATTGTGATACAGTTCCTCCCCTATTTTATAAATAAATTTATTTATTATTTATTTTTTTGTCCATTTTAATTCTACTTTTAATTAAAAAATATAATTTTTAAAAAATTAAATTACAAAAATATTTATTATTTCTAAATGAAATTGTATATAAAAAACTCATCCAATAGACCCATCCAACAGGCCCATAGACCCGTGCCAACAAACCCACCCACAACCCCGCCCTGTGAATGACGGGTTGGATTGCGGATAGTCTAGCTCTACCCGAAGCTTGATTTGACCCATTTGATAACTCACCAAGGTAGGGGTTTGAGCCTACTTTATACCACGTAGCCCCAAAATAAGTTCACGAGCAAGCCCGGCTCAATCCATGGATATCCCTAATTACTCTATCCCAAATCCAGACCCCCCCAACCCCTTCTTTGTTGTTACATGCATGTGTCACATTAATTGAGTTTGCTACGTCGTAGTACTATTTTTTATTATTTTGTTTTTTTGGGAAGGGGGGGAGGGGAAGAGAGGGGGACTTACGTCGTAGTACTAAGGTTTGAATTTCAGCTTCTTAGGACGTAAGTTGAGTTACTGAATTCTTATTCATAAACCTCAAAATCAATTTCAGGCTCAGTAAGAATTGAATTTGAAATTTAGTCAGAGTTATGTAATTCGAGAACTCAATTTTAACTAGAAATAGACCCATATTTCAATCCGAATTGTATAATTCAAGCTAAAAAATTCAATCATTTCGGATTTTAACTGAACCCAATACCCAAGTTGCAATTGTAACATATGCTAGCATTTTTCATTTGATGTTGTCCATGGACGGAATCAGAATTTTATTACAAGGGGGACCAAATAAAAATAATAGCACAGCCAAAAATTTTATTTATTAAGGTCAATCGAATGTAAGCGTTAATGTCAAATTTTTATTTGTATAGAACTATCAAGATCTATTGTATACCATGTAAAAATTAATTTGAGATATATACGATCTAAAAATTAAATCGTACTTGCCACTGTAAAAATAAATGTAATATTTTCAAATTTACTTGTTTTTTCACTTATAATATGATTTAGTGATTAAAAATAAATTATAATTAATCTTGATTGAGTGTATTGTCCATGGTACAAATCACATTTTTAGTTGCATATTGCAACAACTTTCTTTTTGGTCATAAAACTTATTCCAGCAAATGTTTTTGTCCGTAAATGGAGCACCGTCCACTTGACTAATATCTCCAGCTTGGTTTAGGTCATTTAGCTTTTTGAGTACAGTAATTCAAGTATCTTACACATAAAAAAAAAAAATTAAAACAAAAGGTGAGATATGAAATTTTTAAAAATTAAAGGGAGTAAAAAGTATTTTTGAACACTTGAGGGGCCAAGGCTTCTTGGGCCTCCACTCGATTCTGTCGCTGCTTCTGCGTCAACTATGAAGATACGTAAATTGTGGTTGTAAGCAACCATAACTCTCATCGTCTTCAGTGGTACCACGCAGACACCATTCATCTGGTTCTGGTACTTTGCGAGAGAGAGAGAGAGAGAGAGAGAGAGGTCCCAGCTTCCGCCCGCCCATAACCCATTCCTCACTGCATGACATCTGGCGCTTTGATTGAGTTTGCTACATAGCTGTAGATTCTAGTCCTGTGCTTTCACTATCGTGAAATTTTTTTTTTTTATTAATTTAGTTCTCAGTTTATCAATTTTTTTAATTTGGTCATAGAGTATTCAATATGTCACTTTGATTTTTAATCAGACAATCATTCAAATTTTTTAACAAAAGTGATCTCGTGTAATTTTTTTAGATGGTATCACACATGTCCAACATGTGATCATTCAATCAAAAACTTAACGTTCGTCTATGTATGAAAAAAAATGATACGAATTGAATATTTTAAGAACAAAATTGATATAATAAAGACTAAATTCATAAAAAAATCATATTTTTTAAGAATGAAAATTGCTATTAACCCAACTTAAATAACTTTGCTTTTAAATAGTTTTATTTAGTTGTAATGTTACAAAAACAAAAAAAAATGTTTTCTATGTTATGATCCAATCCTGTACATATAGGCTCTTAAACCCTCCCCCCTTCCATTTCCACTCTGGTTGTGAATTTAGAGTAATGTTTTTTTGATTTAAATATTTGGTCATTTTTGTTGACTTAGTTCGTAATGATAATTAAATTGATAGTGAATTTCATTAAACAGTGAAATTTGTTTTTCATCCGATAATACTAAAGAAGTCAGATCAACAAAGGATGATAGATTAGGTTCAGATACCTTTTCTCCTCGATCTAATCTACATGTCAAAGCATGGGTGCACAAAATAAGGACACGCCCTGTGTTTCTATCCACATGTAGGTTCCTCGAATTATTTATGTGCACTGTGAAATCAGAAGAGGAGATTGACAATTGAAAGAGAAGAAAAATGCAGCCAGCAGGGAAGAGCTCATCTGGACTTGAGCGAAAAGAAGTGGAAAAATATCGAAGAATGCACATGAAAGCTCATGTTTCCAGGCTTGCTTCTCTCATACCTACCCAAGTAAGTAACCTCTGTGTGTGTGTACGTATAGATACCAATATGAATGCATCTCTGTATGTGTTTCAGGAGAAATTGGCGTTACCTGCTTTGTTGGATCAAGTCACTTCTTACGTAAAACAACTGAAAGACCGTCTGGAAGAACTGAGGAAAAGGAGGGAACAACTTCAAGGTGAGGAAGCTGTCACTGAAGGCCAGAGGGTTGCTCTGATGGTGCCAGTAGTTGCCATTAAAGAGACTTGTTCGGTTTTAGAGGTAAATTTGGTAACTGGGGTGAGTCAGAGTTGCATGTTGTCTCAAATTTTCAGTGTTCTTCAGGAAAAAGGTGCTGAAGTTGTGAGTGCTAACCGCTCAACTGTGGGCGCCAGGACCTTCTATTCCATTTATTCACAGGTTTATCTTCTTTATCAGTGTCCCTCGCAATGCTATTTCCTCTATAGTAATTTGTGCATGAATTTCACACGTAAAAGTTGTTTTATGAATACATGCAATTGGGAAAATAATTAATTGACTTATTTTGTCGGCACAATGATGTGATGTGATATAGATCAACAGTGTTATTGTGACGATAGCTACTAAACTTTTTCATTAAGACTATACTTAACTTATAGTCGTGTTAATAAATTAAGTTAAATTTTTAACTCTCTACAATGTTGCTCTTTTCTGATCTCTAAGATTTGTACGCGAGTAACATTTACACCTCTGCTGTAAATATATTCGTTAATAAATTATACCTAGACCCCCTTAAAATTTGTACACATATAATACTTAGATTTCTTAAATTTAAAATGTTATACTTATACTAAAAATACTCCAATCAAAGATAGAATATCAAATAGTTTAAATTTTACAACCAAAATTCATATTCTATTGTATAATTTATTAAAATAAAATCAAAAATAAAAATTCAAATTTTTTCTTAAAAATTGTAATTAGTATACAATTATACCATCTACTGAAATAAAATTAAAAAAATCAAACAAGGGATCTAAGTCATTCTTAATAGAACATGAATTTTACAAACCAAAATTTATATTCTATTATGTCATTTATTTAAATAAAATCAAAAATAAAAATCTAATTTAAAAAAAAAAGCATAGTTAGTATACAATTATAATATCTATTAGAATAAAACTAAAAATTTAAACAAGGGGTTAAATTATAATGAACACAATATCTTTTTTAGCTTCAATTGAGATAGTTTGGTATTTTAATTTGGTCGTTTAACCGACTAAATTAAATTTCAATAGATAATATAATTGTATACTAATTATGATTTTTTAAAAAAAAATTTGAATTTTGAAATTTTATTTTATTTCAATAAATGATACAACAAAACATGAATTTTAATTGTAAAATTTAAAATATTTAATATTCTATTTTTGATTAAAGTATTTTTGATCTAAATATAACATTTTAAACTTAAGGGTCTAAGTAATTTATGTTTATAAACTTCAGAAAGTCTGAATATAATTTATTAATTGATATATTTACAACATGAGTTTAAGTGTTATAAACGTACAAACTTTAGGAAATCTGAATGTAATACTTCAAATGTCAGGTGGTTTGAATGGTTAAGTGACAAATTTTAAGGGGTGTGAGTATAATTCTCCCTAAATAAAAAAGGTTTTCAAACATAATGTACACTAATACCCAACAACTAATCTTATAACTTCAATTCTATACACGATAAATATTTAAATTGCATTAATTATTTTAACCATTACCCATATGTAAATTTTAACAACGGTATACTTTAATCACACTCACACTTTAACCACAGCTAAACACTTTAAATACCCACTTTCTTTTTAACCATGGTGAATATTTTAACTTTAATAACTATTTTAACCATTAACCATGGTAAATATTTTAACCACCATAACTATTTCTATTATAGTTGTATTTATATTTTAACCAAATTAAATATTTTAACTATTCTCGCATCTTGACGATCCACTTATAAAAAGAAAGGGTACACACTTATCGTAAATCGCATGAATAAACCAAGTATGTGTATATATATATGTATAACTTGCTATTGTTATTATAATTGTTGTTTATTTTACATAGTCAATAACACTGTGTGGTTAGCTGCTCAATGTAATTTGAGGGATAAAACGGAAATATTAAATGAGATTTTTTTTTTAGTATTATTTTAGAAAAAATAATTTATTTTAATTTTTTATGTGAGAGGGAGACAGAAAAATGATATGCTAATGTTGTCAAGAAAGATGTTCAACTTTTGCATTTATTTTTTACCATTGAGAGAGAGAGAGAGTGTTTACTTTCAATTTTTATTTTTATTTTTTTTTAACCTGAGAGAGAGAATGAGAGTAAATATGAGTTCACTTTTGAGTATATTTTTTTAATTTCTAAGTCTTTAATATTATGAATTGAATTATGGATCCAAAATATTGTAATAAAAATTTTGATTGAATTTAATTTTTTGGGACTTTTTTTTTAGATCTTAAAATTTAATGAATTTAATTTTTCTTGTGGATTAGTAAAGTACTTAAAACTATGGGCCTTCTAAAAGACTTGGGTTTTAAAGTCCATGTTTTTTTTTTCATACTGTTGGGCTGGCCCCGACTATTTACGTGATAAAAGTTGTTCCAGCTAAGTTAATATATATATATATATATAGGACTCTGATTAAACGTTGCAGGCTTTATATTCAAGAATCGGCATAGATACTTCAAGAATAATAGAAAGATTGCAGAGTCTGGTACATCCTGCTGCTTAGCAATTACTTGGTTGAAACTGAGCACAAACCGATCAAAAATGGTAAGATGTAGGAACACAATGTATTAATACTCAATCTTGCAAATGCAGGAGATATTTTCTCCTTATTTTTCGCCTTTAATAAGTTTGTTCTACTATGATTCAAGTGTCATTAATTCGAACCACGAAAACAACATTTACGAATGCACTGACAAGAGTCGTTTCTCTTTTGGATATTTGCTGATTGTTCAAACAGTTTTGGGCTCAACTTGGGCTTTGGTTCAACTCGGCTTGTAAATTTTGCTTGTCCAAGCTCAGACTTGGCTCATCAATTTAACGAATTGCACCCGACTTCATTTCTATATAAAATATGGGTAATTTTTTTTTGCACTAAATTAATTGTAGCTGTTGGATCAATGATGAGATTCACCAATCCAACGATTGCAAATAATTTGATACAAATTTTAATGCACCTAGCATTGCCCATAAAATATGTGGTTAATAAGGTAAACAAGCTTTTGTTTTAGTTCGACTATGTCCATGTAAAAAGATTAAATCCATAAACACTTTAAGTCCTACAAAGAGGTCCTTGTAAAAACACAAGCCAAGTTAAAAACAATTAAGGCCTTACTTGAAGGAAAGACCCCATAATTTATGCGCGTGCAATAATTGTTCAATTATAAAATTTAAATCTATGTCAAAACAAAAAATTTCAACTAAAGTAGATTGAATTTATTAATTTAGCCGTGAAATTAAAAAAGCTTAAAATTTATTTTTATTTAAAAAAAAAGAAAAAGAAAGTAAAAGTAAAACTAGAGTTACTAAAAAATTAAGTCTTAACACTCTAAAAAAGTTGATTTTAAACTTATTATCATAATTTTTTATTATTCTTTATCTCTGTTATTTAAAATAAAAATAGATTTATTGTTGATATTAAAAATCTAAGGCCTCTTTTATCGTTTTAGGCCCAAAATGTCTGGGAACCCCCTGCATGGTCACCTTTGGTATGATTTAGCCATTTTTCTCATGTATGAGAATATTGGATTTTAATTTAAATTTAATCTAATTAATCGAAAGTAGATTGATATTTTTTTACCCATAATGTAATTTTTTTTATACTACAGGGTGTTTAAGCTTGTGTCGATAGTATAAATTTGAACTCGAATTTGGATGTCCCAAGAAGCAATTAAAATAGAATCGTTGATGACCAACTTGTACATGCTTAAACTAATACTCATTTGGATAACCATATGCATTTATTGGCAATATGTGTCGGTTATCAAGTCTGGGCTTCAATGACAGAACTACCGTGTAATCAAAACACTGATGGAGTAATATTTAATAAAAATTATATTAATTTATACAATTATATTAGGCAAAACTAAAATTTACAATCGAAAATAAACTGTGACATACTCATTATTTAATTTTCACGATAGTAAGTAAGAATCAATTTTTAGATTTCTTGTAATGGCAATAGTTAGACTCTTTTCAATTGTGTTGGAAGCTGTGGTGCTGGTGCATATCGGCCGAATCTTGATGATCGATCTTTCTCCGTCCTCGGAGCGAATGAATTCATCTCTATACTTATAATTTCATAAGTAACATGTATTCACTGCAAAATATTGATATTCAGTTAAAAAAAATAAAAAATCCTTCCCGAAATGCATTAAAGCAGAACATTTGACATGACATGTACAGGTAAAACACTGTTTTGGTGTGAAACAACACAAAAAAGGCACAAATCGGGGCAAACTTGGCCAGGGGTGTTTGTTTTTTTGAGCAATGTTATTGAGATCTAATTTGTTGATCTAATTTATTATGATATTTGAAATGACTGTGGGCTCCAATAAACATTGAAACTTGGTGTGAATCCAATAGTTCCAATAAAATCACGTAATTATGTCAAATTTTTAGGTCCAAACAACATTTTCCTTGTTTCATTTCCTTGCACAACAACCATGTTTTGGGCATGAAGCTCATCAGCTGGTGTAAATATTAAGTGTAACAGTGACATCACATCATTATTATAATGTAATGTTATCAATTAATTATAAAATAACAAACAAAATTAGTGAACAACGGAACTCACATGTCATACAAATAGAATCATACTATTAAAAAATTGGTGTTATTAGATTAGGTAGTTATAAGTAAATTATTAAAACAACGGAACCCACATGTCATTAATGACGAGATTTCATCGTTACACCCTATGGGTCCTTCAACTTTTTGTTTAATTGCAAACAATGTACCCAATGGCTCAAAGCAAAAGGAACCTCGTTTTCTGTCACTATACTTCACCTTGGGGTTCTTTTAGTTTAATGGTCTTTTAACTTTTCTGTCAATCTGTCTATCACCAATTTGTTTTATGATAAACTATTATTATTATTAAACTCATCAATTAATCAACAGGAAAAGGGCAATTACCCTTTACAAAAAGAGAAAAATAAACAAAATAAACCGTTAACAATAACTAAAGTACACTGACATATCTCATCAAGTATTCTAATAAAAAGTGTAAAAGAGAGTGGGGGGCCAATGGCTGTGTGTAAAGGCACTGATCATGATTGGAGCCTTCCCCGCAGTTCAAGCTTATCCGTTCCCACAATTTTTTATGAAGTTTCTTTCACAGTGGTATGTATTTTATAGACTTGTGATTGTTACGTAAGCCTGTTTAATGTCATACTTTATTCAATGTCTTCTTTCCCTTTTATTTTCAACTTATTCTTCCTTATGGCCTTTATCACTTGTCGCATCTTGTGTCCAAACCCTCGATCAAAATACATGCACTCATTCACACACAAGACGCATTGAATTAGTTAAGGACCCATAAACTGATTCAAACATTTTTGATCGTTGAACTAAAAAAAAAAAAAAAAATTGTGACCTGTTGGATGAATACAATATTGATGGGGCTTTGAAAGTAGAGGATTGCCAGTCAAAACTCTATATAATTGCGTTCCTAAATCATTATGGCATATGACTTTTCAAGGTGGTTGAGTTTTTTTTTTTGATCAGGAAGGTGGTTGAGTTGATCACCAGCCTTTTTAGCCTAAACTGCAATGCTCGTTGAGTTCCTTGATGGTGATGATGATGATTCCACCACCCCCAAATTCTTTTTTCGGAGTTAGTTATGTAACCATGGATTTTTTTTTTTTTTGAGAAACTATTATTTTTCAAATTACCAATGTTTTAAAATACGTTTCCTGCATTGAAAAATATGTTTTAAAAATATGGATAATTGTGTAAATAAATTTAAAAGGACAAAGTTGCATCATTAGTTTCTAAGAATTACAACTTGTTGAACTTTGATTCCACTAACTTTACATTTGCAAATTTAGTCTTCGATGTTCACACATTTAATTAATTTGATCCCTATCCATAATTGTCGTCACACCGGAAAACAGCACCTGAGTATGAGAGACAGTGCATGTGGTGTTTTCACCATACTTTCATGCCCCTCTATCATTCTCAAGTGTCCATTACCTACTGTTTTCTGTCACTTTTGTAGATAGATGTCTAAGTTAGGGACCTCATTTTAAATTTGGAGGATTAAACTTAAAATATTGAAACTTTAAGGACCAAAGTTTAAATGGAAAATCTCAGGGTTCAAAAGTGCAATTCACCCATTTTAAAGGTAAAACTACAGTATTTGAATAATTAATTATATTCCAAAAAAAAAATGGCAGTGCCCCGGGCCAGGAATAGCTGGCAAATGGCCTTCCTATGCCTTAAAGCAACACAACTATTGATGGTCTTAGGGCCCCACCGAATTGCAACCAAAATAGATTTATAAGCATGCATTGCATATATAAAATGTGGATACTTGTTGGCTTTTCCAATCCTCAACATTTGAATTGACCCTTTTTCATTGCACTTCTTTCTTATTTCTTTAAAACATTACTCAAAAAAAAACTAACATCAACGAATTCAATTAGAGATCTCCCACAACTTCTCTCAATTTGCTACTTTTCACTTGCCACACCTCACCAACAAGAGAAAAATATTGACACTTACGAGGCACCAAAGTGACGCTGTCATGTTGTGCTTAAGACTAATGATAAATTGCTAGAACGCTTACTTGTTGGACCGAACCCACAAGTTATTTTTATTTTTTTAGGAAAAATTATGACAATTTCACATGTGTAAAGAACACTACACAACTTGCATAGTGAGCCAAATTTGCTTGTTGCGAAGGTGTGGAAGCATTGCACATTCATTTAACACAAAACAACCAATCATTTATCGTGACTTGGAAATGAACTTTACCAACATAACATAAATGCAACTTAAATGGGTTTAATTTAGGGTCTTCCAAATGGCTCCAAGATCAATCAGCAATTGCCCAAGTCATATCATTCTCAAAGATCCAGTGACACACTTCAATCTTTCCAGGACCCGAACCCAATGCCATGAAGGCTCCATGACTGGGGCTCCAAGATGAGGTGTCTACGTGACATATGGCAACACCATGGTTGATTTTGGCCTTAGATTTCGGGTCCAAAAGATCCGCTTCGTAGACCCGAACCTTGGGAACCGAGTGGCAGTAATATAGTAGGTAAGGGAACAGGCTCTGGTGACAAGACACCGATTTGGTGACTCTGCCACCGTTGATTCCTTTGACTTCTCCAATCATAATGTTTTGTTTTGACCCCTCGGTGTTCTCAGTCGTCCTTACGACGACGTTGTGGCCGAGCACGGTGGTGGCGAAGTCGATCATGTCCTCCGCCGAGGCCACGCACCGTTTGGTCTCGCCGAGGCTCGGAGCTCTCTCACACTCGCTCAATGCGTCGGCGATTATACTCGCCATGCTAGAGTTATCGCCGGCATGAAAGATTTGCTTCAACTCATCGAGCTTAGATGTCGAAAATGGCAATTTTGACGAAATCACCCGGGGCAAAAACGACCTTTTGGGCATTTGATCACGAATGTCCGGCATCGGCATTACAATTCCGGTCTTCAGCATCCTCTCTCTGAAAAATTTACCCGGCTCAACCCACCTATTTACCTTTTTGCCACTCTTCTCCATTGCAGTCAATTCTACAGAGCTTCCATGGATATAGCTAGAGAAAGTGACACCCTTTTTGGCATAGTCTTTAAAAGTGTTGTTCACTCCATAAAGTTTGAACCCAACGGCATGATTTGAAGCACCTTTTCCATAACCACTGAACTTGTCGGTACCTTCATTGAAGGACTGACCATAATTTGCAAAATTGACCTCAGCTGCGTTGGAATTCTTGGCGTAAGATTGAAAAGAATCGTCACCCACATTGGATTGATCTCTGTAACTCAAGAAACTATCAACAGCGGAATTGCCACCATCACCATAATTTCTGAAATTGTTTGTTGGATTATTGCCATCGAAAGCGTAGCTTGTGAATTTGTCGTTAGCGCCATTAGCAGTCTCACCATATTTTGTGAAGGTCGAACCAACCACATTCGTGTTATTACCATAGCTATTGAATTCGTTGGAAGCTCCATTACCATTCTTTCCATAGCTTGTGAAGTGCTGATCTCCGGCATTACCGTCGTCGCTGTAGGAATTAAAAGTTTGTTTCCGGCCGTTTACGTTGTCGGAGTATGAAGTGAACCGGAGGTTCGGGACATTGACGTTGTGGGCGTAGCTCTTAAACTCACCGGTGCCACCAGTGGCAGTGGTGCCGTAGGTGTTGAAGCTCTCGTCCGGCACATTGGTGTTAGGGACATAATTGGAAAATTTATCACCATGACCAACCGAGCCCCGGCTGTACCTTCTGAACGAGTCGACCGGAATATTTTCGCCGTCGGAATAGTTCTTGAACGAGTCGAACCCGCCGAGTCGATCCGTTCCGTAGTTGGTGAAGTTCTTGTCCACGTACAAGGCAAAGTTGACGTTTTTGTCATGCTTGTCGAGACTCGGGGATAAATCCGGGAAGCAAAAAAGTTTAGCTGAGGAACACAAGGATGGTAGTTGAGCGGAAAGAAGGTTTTGATCGGCTAGTTTGGTGAAAGTCGCCGATTCCACGGCGGTTAATGGGGAGGCCTTGTTCAGAAGGAACCATGGTTTAGGTAATTCATTGGAGACTTGTTTTTTCCAGTAACGTATCAGATAGGCTTTCGGGGTGAATGGGTTTTCTCCGGCCCGTGACTCTCCGGCTCCGGTGGCGACCACCTGCATTGGCACAAACAATACATATGCATAAGTTCTGACATATATGTGTATAACGCAAAATTAATTATAACACTAAATATCTTAGTACAAAGGATTGTGTGTTTTAGAAACATTAGATTGTTTACTTACATTGAAAGATGGAAGTAAGTACAAGAAAAGGAAGAGAAGAAAGGGAGCGAGAGGCTTGAGTTTCTCCATATTTGTGTTTGTGTGAGAGAGAGAAAAAGAGGGAGAGGGAGAGGCAGAGGGAGAGAGAGAGGGAGAGGGGGAGTGAGAATGTTGGTGGATGTATTTAGTTGGAGGCACAATTTTATACTTAGTTTTGAGAGAGGTAGGGACGGTTCTGGTTAGAACAGTGGTTTTACTCTGCCTCTTACTTTTTCGGGTTAATTGTATTAAGAATAATGTTAAATGAATTTAAAAATTAAATTTAAAATTCAGACTTAATAATTTTAACCATTGAATAAGTAGTGGGTCTCAATAAATGCTGAGATCCACAATAAAATTAATGGTTGAGATTATCAAGTCTAATTTTTAAGTTTATGTAATATTGCTCTAGTATTAGCGGTTACAAAAGTATATGATTTATTTTATTTTAGTTTCAACTTTTAAATATTTGAATTTTTTTATTTTAATTCTTGAAATATTAAATATATTTTTATATAATTCTTCAAGCACACAACTTTAAAATTATTAATAATTTTTTATTATAAATTTATCATATAATACTTAAATATGAAAAAAAATAATTTGAATAATTCTTAATCAAATTTCTATTCAAATTTTGGCCAAAGAGCTACTAAAATATACAATTTTGATAAGGGGTTATTCAAATTTTGATTAAGAACTACACATATTGCACATTTTTTGTCAATATCTATCCCATTTTTTATCAAAAATTATCTAAATTATTTTTTATCCATATTTAGATATAACGTGATAAGTTTATGATAAAAAATCGTTAGTCATTTGGATGTTATCTGTTTGAGGGACCACATAGAACCATATTCAATATTTCAGAAACCAAAATAATACAATTAAAATATTAATGACTAAAATAAAACAAACTCTATACTTTGAAGATCCTAATATAATTAACACTATTTCTTCTGCTCTTTTTAATTAAATTGAGATACACTTTGATTAATCGCTTCTGCAGTCCAATTAAAAGTAGGTCATCTACAGTTGAATTAGAGAATTCATAAATAACAAAATCCTCATAACTTGGCTCCAAAAAAATTATTAAACTTCAAACTTAAAATGTAGGAGAGTGTACACAGTCTAGGCTACTAACTAGTGTTCTTTTTTTGTTTTAAAACAAAAAAAAATATTAAATTCAATAACTTTCAGTATATGACATTATTTTTTAAAAAACATTGAATAAATTTTTAGGCCCCAAATGTTTATGAAACTTTGTTTTCCAACATATCTGGATAATTATTAGAGATGTTTTTTCTTTCGGTAAGTTTAGACATGTTAAAAAACCTGTTTAGCGTCGAAGGGCAGGTTGAAAGCCCCTAATAGTGGCAAAATCTCTCTCTCTCTCTCTCTCTCTCTCTCTCTCTCTCTCTCTCTCTCAGCATGATATGACTTGAGTTTAAGTGGCTGCATACATAGGATTCCCTTCTCACAAGTATGATAAATAAAACGTTGAAATTCGACCGTTCTTTATTGCAGTGTCTCTTAATCCCATTCCTCAATCCGAGAATCCAAACAAGGTGGCCAACCAACTAACCTCTACCTCGGTGCCTATGTTCTGTCAAGTCCACTAATAATTTGATCTTTCAATCATTCAGCATACATTAATCACAAAAACTACTTCATGGTCGCATTAAAATTCTTATATGAAAAAAATAATATCACTAATAACGCTACCCGTACTAACTAATTAACAATTCAATGTATTATGCATCCATGGTGCTAATAAAAATATTCAACTTCAAATAAGGGCTTTACAAAGTTGTATCACATAATAATGCTGAGCTTGATTGATATCATATGTCTATGCTCCCCTTCATAATCGAGATGAGTTGGGCCTTCGGTTGCCTTGTTTGCAAACTACTTCTTTTCCATCAGAAAATTATAAAAGAAAAGCAAAACACAAAAGGATGTTCAAATGGCTATTTTGTTAATTTCTTTAAAGTACCATCTTTTTTGCATTATGCTTTTTTCTCTAAGCTTAATGATATATGTAGTAGTAGTAGTATATATATATATATACTAGTTTTTGTTTATGAAAACATAGAATAATAAAAAATAAAAAATAAAAAATATATTTGTATATATATTTAAAATTAAATTACAAACAAAAATAAAAGATAAAAAAAATTAAGCATCGATTTGTAGTGGGGGTGAGACGTGGATGGCTGCAGCGGTATTGGCAGGAGCGACAGTGGTGGTGGTGATGGTGGCGACGGCAATGATGGTGGTAGCGACAACGACGTCGACAATAGTGATGGTGGTGACGACAATGGTGATAGTGGCGGCGACGACGTGGGTGGCAGTGGTGGGGGTGGTGGTTGCGTTGGTGGCGACGACGACGACGATGGTAATGGTGGCAGTGACAATGGTGATTATGAGAGTAAAGGTAGTGGTGAGACAGTTTTAAACACTATTTTTTATTAAAAATATTTATGAGAAATAAATTTTTAAAAATATTTTTAAAAAGTCACTCCAAACATACTTTTACGAGCCTATTTTTCCTATTAAATTTAAGGTATTAATATTAGTCGTTAGATTAATTTTAAAATAAAATTTAAAGCGATCTGAACCACGAATAACAAAAATCATTTTATTTATTTTTGAAATTTGAATTGTAAACTATTTTATTTTTTATATATATATAACATTTGTCCACGGATAAACACATCATTTATCTATACATACAGATTATTTCAAAAACATTACAACCCAACATAGTTTTATTTTTCTTACGAAACTATTCTTTCAGCTTAAAACGTATTACTTAAAAAATATTATCAAACAATAGCAGCTAGGGAAGAGTTTATTTCGACAAAACTCCATTTTTCTGAAGCAAATTTTATAGGACAAAAAATAAAAGTGGATATGGATGGCCATGGCCCCAAATACAGTTAGTTATACAACATGACACCACAAGTTGTAGGAATTGAATAAGACACCTCTGATTGTTTTAAACATTGAAAGCTCAGAGGTTGATATCTATGTAATACCCTGAATACTCCAAAACTTTCCTTGTCTTAACCCTACATTCCTATCACTTATACCTCATAATTTCGTTATTATTTTTTGCATGCAAACGAAAAATAGGGACATCAAAGGCGTTATTGCCATGTAATGTTTGTGGCTGTGGCACCTCACAAATGATGATGCTCTAGCCTTTATGTTTTCCATTTTGAAGATATCTACAACATTGATAGGAATGAGAAATATTTGAGGGATTTATTACGACTCGATTATAATTGTGTCGAGATAACAAGGAAATCATCCCATTAGCACGAGTCACGATAAATTAATTATTTTTTTAGTATAATACATAAAAGTAAAATTTGGTACCATAATCATACCCTATGATCAACATGACCGTCCTGTCTTTTTCAGGTTTTCATTTTTTTCTATTGGTTCATTGTTTTAACTATGATTCATCCTTTCTCGGCCTAATAAGCTCAAAGGAGAACGTCAATGACACGTCCTTTTTGCAGAGAGATAAGTATCCTTTTCATTTGGAAGAAAGTGATGTTATGCTATACGTGAAGGTTATGTTATTGTATATATATGCAACGAGATGAAACCTAAACTTGAGGCTTTCTGGTTCTCTGACCACTCCTCATTTAGCGAAAAGAAAACCGACATTATCACCAAATATTCTAATCTGTGATCATTTGTCTATCACATTTAGAAATGCCTTGCAATGGGTCACATGACTAGTGTCTATAAGTGGAGCAAGTTGTTTCTTGACAACGTTTGTTCAACTTAAATCTCATCCATTTATGGTTATGAATGCACAGTCGAGTTGATAACATGTATATGTTGTATTTAACCAAATTCATGCTATTTTTAATCAAGTCATGTTGATCCATTTACTAAACAATTGTGTCATGTCAACTCATTAATTACTTGAAACTTTTAACAGAACCGGCTCACTTTGCTTTTGTTTCGTATAGAATTATGGGTTGTATTAATAATTTACACAATCCTAGCTTCTTTCTCTATCCCTCCAATGTAGAGGGAAAATACTTTGTCTTAGGGGTTTTTGACAAGCAACTTGCATTCAAATTTGAGTTTAGCCTGGCATTAACAATGGCAGATGGCCTCTCAAACAGTCTGTTCAATGACAAGACCATCCTGCTATCACATTAAACACCTATATATGATGATGATGATGATGGTACAAGGGCCCCCAAAGCCCCTAACAACATCTTTATTTTGCAGCCACCATCAATGGCCATCACTGCCGGTGCACATGGTCAACAAAATGGAGGGTAGAGATTAGATGGCCTTATAAATGAACCAGTTGGTACAGACAGATTCTTATTTGCTTGATGTATTTGGCCATATATAGACCACAGTTCATGACATGTCAGTTTATTGTTTGTACCATGGTCATTATTATGTACTAGAGAGGGTAAGTTCTTTAATTGCATAAATCCAAACTAATGTGCTGGAGAATAAGTTTTTGCTTGATTGCATAAATTCAAATTCCATTGAATGGCTTAATAGTCTGGGTCACCTAGCTATAACAACAGACAAGGCTAGTATAACATGTTTAAGAGGTCACAATGAAGAAGAGAGGGTTAGCAGGGTAAGGTAGGTCAAGTGTCCGAGATTTTAATCTCGGAGAGTACGATATACCATGTACAATTATATGTTATCTAATGTAATCTTAGTTTATAGAAAAATCATTTTTGAAACTCGATATATATATATATGTGTGTGTGTGGTGCCATGAATACATTGAAAACTTCATTCCAAATGTGTAAATAAATGCATAGAATGATGTTTAATTAACCTGATCTACACTGATGGAACGTGGTGGGGGCAACAGTATTTTTTGACCTGTATTTATATGATGCGGCTTCGTGGTTTGTTTCGTTAATGGAGAAATTCAATGCGCATTGAAAGCAGCCTCTCTCTCTCTCTCTCTCCCTCCGATGATGATGATAAACTTGAACAATTATATAGTTGGTGGGCATGTATGTTAAATGTCTGTCTCTATCTAT